GAGCACCTAGTTCCGTGCCCGGCCCACACCCCATAGCTATGCACGGCAAATGGCAGGGCCTGTTCTTCGTGCAGCCTTGACCGTCAGTGTCCCAGACTCCCTGCAGCCAGGGCATAGGCCAGCTCAGGAGCCCCAGGCTCCCATGTCAGAGCGAACCCTCACAGGGTTTCTCCCTGGGGGTGTCACTGGTGTTTAGGGCAATTCCTCACTGTGCAGGACTGCCCCTCACACTGCAGAACACTGAACCGTTCTGATCTCTGCTCACTGTCTGTAGAGCCTGTCCCCAGCCCCCTAGAACTCAACTACTAATAGTGTACCATATGTGTCCAAACACCCCCTGCGGAGTATCATTCCTGGCAGAGAACCACAGCTGAAGCCTTCTCCCTGCCAATCTGAAGCACAAGTCTCTGAGCCAGATGCCTCCTCTTATCCCAGAGACATCCATTTAACAGAGAGAAGTTCTGTCAGGAGCCCTCCAAGGAAACGTGATTTTTGACCTTGCCACAGGGGTGGGTCACACCTCCCCTTTTGAAGAACCCTCAAGACCCCCATTGTCCTCAAAAGCCTCTCCTGGTAAGAATCTCTTGACTCGCCAGGACCATAACATAGATTCCTTTAGTAAAGTTCTTTGACCTGGAAATTTTACATAATTAACAGACTGGAAGAGAAGGCGATTCTTGATGACAGAATGTCAGACACTTGAGAAAGGGAGTGATCGGGGCACCAGGATCTCTTCAGGATTCTTCTCTCACGTGGAAAGAGGGGGACTGTCCACCTATTCCACCCTGCTGAAACCATGGGACAAGCTGGCAACAATGGGCACGGGCTACAAGATATCTGTATGTCCTGAAATCAAGTCCTACCTGCCACACACTGACGTTGCAGTAATATGAAGTCCCCTGCTCAAAACAAAATGTCACATAACGTATATGACAGACAGCACTTGCAAATCATACACACACGTGTACGTTTGTATATAATGTGTATTATTATACCTATTAATTATATAATTATTATGTGATTAGTATATTGTATAGTTAATAGTGATTATAATTATATGTTATGTATAATTAATATATTGATTATATGTATAACTAACATGTATTATGTACATTAAGAGTACAGTTGACTCTTGAACAACTCAGGGGTTATGGTTAGTTGAAAATCTGCATTATAACTAACTGTCAGCCTTTCCTATATGTGATTCCTCCATATCCCCAATTCCACATCCACAGATTCAGCCAACTGCGGATCGTATAGTACTGTAATATTTACTATAGAAAAAAATTCTCGTATAAGTGGACCTGCGCGATTCAAACCCACGTTGTTCAAGGGTCAACTGTACTTGCAAATTAAAAATAAATGATGGGGCTTCCCTGGTGGCGCAGTGGTTGAGACTCCGCCTGCCGATGCAGGGGACGCGGG